GTGAAGGCGATGAAGCAGCAGTCCAAAGATGTTCAGTTTGAATTTCATGCGAGGCTTACTCAGGTTACTTATTACTGTTTTCATCTCAATTCAATGTTTCCTTTCTATGTGCAACATCATGTTAACCAGCTTGTTGCAGGTCATTACCGAGTTCAAGGAACAGGGTATAAATACAGAATTATACTATAAAAACAAAGATATGGGAAAAGGTACTTTTAGCATTGTACCAACTAGTGCAATCAGGTGTGTGTTTTTTCCTTTGCTCGGTTATGTACTTTGCACTCCTATGAGAGACTGTTTAATTTAGCTAATTAGCTTTATGACTCCGGACTCGATGTGGCAGTGGTGAAGGGATTCCAGACTTATTGTTATTACTGGTCCAATGGACAGCAAAGACTATGGTTAAGAGACTTACGTACATCAATGAAGTCCAAGTATGATTTTCACATACCATCGTCATTTTACTTGCATGTGACAATGAATATGTTATGATTAACTGTTGTCATTTTTCCGCAGTGTACTGTTTTGGAGGTTAAGGTTGTTGAAGGTCATGGAACAACCATTGATGTGATATTGGTCAATGGAGTGCTCCATGAAGGAGATCAAATAGTAGTTTGTGGCATGCAGGTAATTAAGCTTCTATTATTTCTATGTTCTGCTAAGATTCCTTGGGTAATTGACTAATTGTATGAATGTTTCTTTTTTTGTGTGTAGGGCCCTATTGTCACCTCAATCCGAGCGTTATTGACACCTCACCCAATGAAGGAACTTCGAGTAAAGGTAGGAAACTACGTGGTTATTTGATTTATGCATTTTCAATTGGTTCCTTTTTTATTTGAGATATGCTTTAACCTCAGTTCAACTCCTTATATAATTTGACAGTCAATATATGACCAAGCTGTTTGTCATGTTTGAACTATCAAAGGAAAGAGGGGAAAAAATGGAGGAGATCAGTTAATAGAATAACTGGGATCCTATTTTTTTTATGAAGTGTCGGGGCCGGCCTTCCTTTTATCCTGCAATTGAATCTTTTTTCCCCTATGTGTTTCTTCCAAATAGTATTGCTGGTGCAATTTTTGTGCTTTACTTGTGAAAATTTGTTCGGAGATGTTTAAACAATATATATTTCTCAAGATCTTCTTGATGCCAAACTTATAATGATTAGGCTAAATGTGGCAAATGAAACGTAGAATGTTAACTATATTGCAGATGGTTTAGCTCAAGTTGGAGATGTTCGATCCAATATCCACTTATTCTATTTAAACTTTCAAAACTTTGGATATAAGTCTGTATGGTTTTTGGGTAAGATATATCTTTGCTTATGTCCTAATATGTATATTTTTCAGATCTTTTAACTTTGTAGTGCATGGCACACTAAAAAACTCTCAAGAACGAAGTCATCTTCTTGATGTTTAACTTCCGTATGAAGTATATATGAAGGATTTTGTTTTCTGGTAATATTCTTATTCAGGGATCATATGAGCATCATAAAGAAATCAAGGCTGCACAAGGGATAAAGATTAATGCTCAGGTAACGCCATTTGCTTATAAATTAAATGCGTGTTCTTTGTTTGTTTCTGTTTTAAGGTATGCTTAGTTTTGTCACATTTATAGCTTGGAACGGTTGTCGGGGAAGAGAGTTGGTGCATAGGATAATAGGAAAGCATGTTAAAAGATACTTTTTGCATAAAATGATGTCTGCAATTTGAAATGGCTGTTGTTTCTGAGTTTAGGATTAGATGATGTTATATTTTGGAACCTAAGTTTCTTTACTTCCCCCCTTGGATAATCTGGGGAGGTAATAGCAATTGCAATAGCAGAAGTATATTCATATTATAATTCCTGGGTTTTCAATTAATACGAAAATAATGTGTGACAACAATCAGAAGGAATTGCTGTACACAATCAATACAATAAGCAACGAAAGGAGTTGGGTAAAGTGAACAGATGAAACGGTATATTAAATCGAATACCTTAATAGTAATATTTGAACAATGAAGAAACCTATGAAACTCAACCTAGCTAAATCCTACTGTCATTGTTGTGCAGGGGCTTGAGCATGCGATTGCTGGCGCTAATTTATACGTTGTGGGGCCGGATGATGACGTGGAGGACATGAAAGAAGCAGCTATGGAAGATATGAGGTGGGTGATGAGCAGGATGAGTAAATGCGGGGAGGGCGTTTACGTTCAAGCTTCTACGCTCGGATCATTAGAAGCTTTACTTGAATTCTTGAAGACCCCTGAAGTAAGCATACCTGTCAGTGGAATTGGCATAGGCAACGTGCACAAAAAGGATGTCATGAAAGCTAGTGTCATGCTTGAGAAGAAGAAAGAGTATGCAACAATCTTGGCCTTTGATGTGACAGTAATACAAGAAGCTCGGGAACTTGCAGATGAAGTCGGTGTCAAAATATTTACTGCTGATATTATTTATCACCTATTCGATCAGTTTAAGGCCTATATTGACAACCTTAAGGAAGAGAAAAAGAAGGAAGTTGCTGAAGAAGTAGTCTTCCCCTGTGTGCTCAAGATCATACCTAATTGTGTCTTCAACAAGAAGGATCCAATTGTTTTAGGTGTTGAAGTTCTTGAGGGCATTGCCAAGGTATTAAATTAATATTGCTTCTTTATATGGTTCAGGACTCTTGTTCACACAAATAATTTAAAAAAAAAAAAAAAAAAACTGAAAATCTCAGAATATCTTATTAAAAAAATATATTTGTATCGGTTTCTCTGCATTTCTTCCGAAAAGGCAAAGGGTTTGTATTTTCCTAATAGTATGCATACTGTTCTCTCGCTCACATCTGTATTTCATTTTTTGTTTGTTAAAGTGCGCTCAAATTAATGCTATTTTTCTTATCAATCTTAGACAGTTTTTAATGTTCTAGTCCTCATTGTGGTTAACTTAATGTGAATAGGTCGGGACTCCAATATGCATTCGACAGAGTCTCGTAGATATTGGTCGAATTGCATCCATAAAGAATAACGATAAGCCCGTTGACTCTGCAAAGAAAGGCCAGAAGGTGTCTATTAAGGTATGAAGCCACATGATGGTTCATATTTATCTGCGTAAAGAATATAATGTGAGCAGCAATTGATCAAATATTTATGCATATGATTTGGCCTTAAATTGCAGATAGTTGGGTCTAACACCGATGAGCAACAGAAGATGTTTGGCAGGCATTTTGAAATTGAAGATGCGCTTGTTAGCAAAATCTCAAGAAGATCTATTGACATTCTCAAGGCCAACTTCCGGGTACGTAAAATTACTTTATCTCATGTGAATTAACACTCGATTGTTGGGGCTGACTTTCAGATACAATTTTACAGAATGATTTGTCCGTTGAAGATTGGAACCTAGTTCTCATACTGAAGGCCATATTCAAGATACAATGAGACTACTTCTCAAAGCTTTTTTGCAACTTAGCTATTTTACTTGCGAGCGGTGATTTCATGTATTTATTCCATTATTATCATCGGATGATGAAAAATTACCTATTACTTTTAAAAGAACACAATTTCCAGTACGTTTGTGTTTTGCTATGACAATGAGTCAAGCCCAAGAACCATCATTAGATTATGTTGGTAGTTATTTAGGTGAACTAATTTTTTCCCATGGTCAATTATATGTTGTTTTATCGAGAGCGATAAGTTCCAACTGTATAAAAATATTGATTCGGCCACCTACTGCAGATAACAATGAGTTCAGCCAACTTACAATGTAGTGTATAGTGAAATTATTCGACAACGTTTGTATAAATGTATTCTGCTACCATCTATATACTTAAAAAATTTCAGGCCTAAATAACTTTCACTTGCACGGTGCCTCAGTGATGTTTGTAGGAGTGCTTGCCCATTTATAATCGGAGGTAATTGTGAGCATGTGATTTTTGATTCAAAATTGTTCCTAAAAATTATTCAACTAGTAATTTAGTTAGTTTTAATTTTGATAAGATTTTTAGGAATTTTTGTTTATTTGTTTGCATAATTAATTATATTTTTGTATTTTTATTGCATTCTAGTTGCATTTCAAATTATATAAAATCATAAAACGTGTTTATTGTCTTTCAAAAGTGTTTAGGATAGTTAATGACATAATTAGAGCTTTAACTAGGTTAATTAGTGAGTTAGGAAGACAATTGTTAATTAACTAATTATTTGGCTATTAAGGTAACTGAGCTTTTTTTGAAATGGAATTTTTACATTCCTATGCCATATAGGAAACTATGTTACCCTCAGGGGTCGTTTGGTTGCCGGTTAGAGTTATGCAGGTATTAGTTATACATGTATTAGTTATGCAGGGATTAGTTATGCAGGGATAAGTAATGCAGGGATTAGTTATGCAGGTATTAGTTATGCAGAGATTATTTTTTTGAATGTTTGGTTTGTTGTATTAGAAATTGATATACATTATATAAATTTTAAAGTAAAATGCTTGTTTACAACTATACCCCTGACCTTCTTTTGCATTGTTTTTTCTCTCTTTCCATTTATGTAGGAAACAATTTAGTTAGGAACTTTGGGTGTTACTTTCACTTCTTCGTCATACTACTGAACTATGTGAAGTTTAGACATATTTGATTTTCACTTCTTAGTTTTGGTATTTCCATTTTCTAGTGGCTTCTCCAGTTTGCTTTTGCTAGTTTGTTCTTTAAAAATGAGAGAAGACAAGGTATATAGTTGGCAAGTGAAAGCAAGTGAAACCTGTTGACGGGTTGGCAGAGAAATAAGGAAGCCTTATGTGTAAAGTGATAGGGGTAAATTTGTCATTTCAGTATTTTATCCATGTATTACTAATACATGTATTAGTTATTCCATCTTCTACCCCGCATAAAATAATACACAGATTGACTCATAACTTATACATGTATTATTTATGCATAATTGAAAAATGTCAACCAAACATGGTATTAGTTATGCAGAATTTTATACAAAATAACTATTGCCTACCAAACAGGGTATAAGTTATGTTACCCCTTATACATGAATAACCTTTCTTCTAACCAGCTACCAAACGACCTCTAAGGGTAAACAAATAGTAAACTAAGGAGGGTCAAACTAGAAATAATAAAACTTAGTCTATACTCCATCCATTACACAATTTTACCCTTAACCCCCCACCGCCGAAACCCCCAAAATAAAGACCACCCTCATAAAGGAGATTTTATTACCGACCGGAGGCAACTCCGAGATGACGGTGAGGTCATGGGCTCTTGCGGCGATGAGCAGCTTCAACCGTACATTTGCGGGCGGAGGGAATTCAGAGTATATAAGAACAATAAAAGAATTCCCCAATCTCTCTATGCAGTCATTCAGTTCGTCTAAAGAGGAAATGGGAATAGTGGGAGGGACACCGTCTATTACTCGCCAGGGTAACCAGATTTGATGTTGTTGTGGTTCATCTGGTTCCTCTGGCCAATTATAGGGTATACCGATTCCTTCCGCCATGAAGATGAAGAAGAAGAAAAGTGATAATTTCTTCTTTAGCAGTTTTATCAAGCGGAGCAATGGCACAATCAGTATACTTGTTTTAACTTGATTATTCAGTTACAATCCCCATGTAGGCACCTAATTAAGATAAAACTGTGTAATAGAGGAAAGTTATATTTTCATTATACAATCTTAGGCAGAGTCAGATCTTCAGTGGAAACCATTGCTTTCTGCTTGATCCATAAGTACATATGCGGACAAAATATATACTCTTGTATTAAACTCATTTTGAATCCACTGACTATAAAATCTTGATTCGCCTTTGATCTTGGGTAGGCTTTTAAATAAAAGTGAATTGTACGTAAGCTATTATGTTCATCAAATTCAATCTGGACTTGACCAGATAAATTGTATATGCACTAAAGATGGACTGACTCAACTCTTGTTGATAAATCAAGAGCCTCTTCGAGTTTAACAACCACCTGTTCCATGGATGGTCGTTGCTGCTTCAGCCCTATGCTAACCAAAGCTAACTTAAGTATAAGTTCAAAAGCCTCCATTGAGAATTTCCCCTCCATTTTGGGATCAGCAAATTCTTTGATGTTCCCACCTTTAGTCAAGTTTTTCGCCTAAGATTCAAAACGATATGTTAAATTAAGGAAAAAAAACACATGGGAGGATGGAGGAGTGAGTATTTATTTTTTACCATTTTACTTAGAAGCATTGGATTCTGCAAATCCAAGTTGATAACCCTTTGTCCAGATAATAGTTGTAGCAGCACTATCCCAAAGCTATAGACATCACCATAAGAATTAACGTGTCGATTCTTTTGGTACTCAGGATCAACATAACCAAAGGTTCCTCTCACTTCTGAGCTAGCATAAGAGTGACCAATGCTAATAATTTTGGATAAACCAAAGTCTGAGAGTTTGGCTTCAAAGCTAGCAGATAGAAGAATGTTTGCTGGCTGCAAAAAAAAGAGAAACATAACTTAGAAAATGGAGAACAGATTATGGATGTAAAATAGGATTTAACCTTGATATCCCGGTGAACAATGGAGCCTTGAGGATACGAGTGGAGAAAGAGGAGACCGCGGGCACAATCAAGTGCAATTTCTAGTCTTCGTCTCCACGAGAGATATTTACTTTTACCTGCTCAATTAGTGTGTAGAAATCAGGACACAGTACAATTCAGGTCAAAAGAGAGCAGAAATGTCCAGAGAGTAAAAATATACCAAATAACCATTCAGAAAGATTTCCATTGTGGCATAGCTCATAAACTAGAAAACACTCATTTGGTCCATCATAGTGTCCTAGCAACGATACAAGGTTCGGATGTCTGATATGCGAGAGGCTTGTAACTTCTCTAACAAATGTATCCATCTGTTCGTCCTTAATTATGTGCTTAATCGCCACATATTGTCCATCTGCCAAAATGCTTTTGTATACTTTTCCTGTACAACATGATCATTTCAATATCCAACTTTCAAAGCCAACTAGTACATAATTCGATTTTGTTCTTACCAGCTATGCCTTGACCTATGAAGTTAGACATGCTGAGATTGTCAGTCGCGGAATAAATTTCTTTAAGTGATAGTTTACGATAGCTTGATTCTTCAGAGTAAGATCCATCTGATACTGCTAACAGGAAACAGCATTAGTATAAGCTAAAACATTCAGAACAAGGATCTTTCTAGGATTGTTGGCGTCGAGGGCTTACTATATCTTCCACTTGATGGTTTTACTTCATTCTTCCTTTTCAATAAGATCCACACCGCAATAATTATTATGACGACAAGCCCCACTATGCCACCAATTAGAATCCCAAGATCTGCATATTTGAACACTCTTTTGTCCAGAAACTCAGCTATAGCAATAATAGTTGTGAATATGGATTTCAAGATTTTACCTCTTTTAAACTTTGTTCGATGTCTAGTTTCACTTCGAGAAGATACTGCAGAGTATAATGATATTCAATATCAAAATTTAATATTCAAAAAGTTGGAAGAGAAAAACATAAATCTGCTTATAACAGAAAGTAGACAAGTATTACCTAAAGGGAGAGAGTTGTCTCCTAGGCAATGAAAGAATTCATCAATCCAACTCTCATCAGATATTCTTTGGCTTGTTAACAAAATCAACATACTAAATCTACAAATGTCAGCTTCGAGTTTCATTGAATTATTCTTCGATTTTGAAGCTAATGCTCCCCATGTCTTCAAACACTGATTGCAGCCTTTAGTGAGTCCTCCATCTGAATCCATTAGGCTGCAATCATCTCTTAGACTTTTTAATCTGTTTCCTAACTCGTTCACTACGTCGATATCTGAATAATAAGAGCAGCCTCCTGCACCACTCGTCAACTTTTCAATGCCACAGCTAAAAGTATTAGAACTAGTGTTCTTCGTCCAAGTTAAGCAGTCCATCTGTTGTGTGGAATTAAGAAAGATATGTCCTGTTTGGTTCGTCCAACGTGCCAATGCTCGTAAATATCTATTGAAAGGTAATCCACAGCAAGGTTGGGTCAAAAAACCATCCCAATTTCTGTCTAAAGTTGTACAATCCTCTCCAGATGAAGAAATGTTAATATTCAGGGGACAGTTATTGGAGATATTAGTCTGAGAAAAAACTAACTCCAAAGATAAGGAAAAAACCATCATGTACATAATTAACACTGGTATTTTGAAGCAATTCATTTCTTTGAAATGCTAAAGTGTACTCTAAATTAAGGTTGAACCATAAAATCTTTGCTCATATATTGACACAATCAATGTAGCCTATATAACTTTTCTTCATAAAGAAAAAAGCAGAAAAATTCAAGTAGATGAAGCCAAATGGCTGGCTAATAAGTGTCTTTTTCTTGTTTCCAATAGTAGAGCATAGCATTATTTAATCTATCATTAGATGACATAAGACAGATTATTTCTTTTTGGAAAAGTTCATTTAAAATCTAAGATAATTTGTTGATTTGTAGGTTCGTAACTTTAAGTAAGATTGTCATAAAAGACAAATGCCGGATATGGCAAAATCAAGAAAATATTCAAGTTTGATGTCAATTTGTGTTGTAGTGTTTGGTTGACGAAGGACTCAATCTTACACCAGTAAAACGAAATCAATTGTTCTTGCAACAACTAAACTAGTTAAGCATTTATTGGATTGTTAGAATCAAAGCAATAATCATTTTGAATTTAAAAGATTGAAAGCAATAAAATAAAATAAAAAAGGGAAATGCTCCGGCCTCCATGTGTGTTTGATTGGAAGTCATTTTCTGGTGATTGGTTACCGTAATATATTTTTCAAGAAAAGCAATTTTTATAAAAGGGGAAAATGCACTAATGACGGAAGTCATTTTCCTCAACTATCTAAATTTTAAATTTTATATTATTCGCTCCAGTTAACACTTAGATATTATTATTATTAATAAATTCAAAATTTTCATTCAAATATTCTCTTATTTATTAATATATTTTTAATATCTAGTATACTTTTTCTAGCAAAAAATTTTTACTGGCCAATCAAATATTTTCCATAGAAAATCACTTCCGTCAGACAAAACACACTATTTAATTCATTTAAGTTGAAATTTAGGGAATCGAGCACCTTAATTCGATTTAGAAATCACTATTAAACGTTAGTTTGTTGGATTGGGTTGAAAGATTAAACTGAAAAGTCCATGGATAGCCATTGAAGCTTGCTTAAGCTTGAACTCAAAAATTTGGATTTTAGAAACTAAAATTTATTTCGAGTGCGTTGTTGGAATAGATCGGATACACCTTAAGGAATTTAAATATCGGTTTTGGGATGATTTGGTGGAGTTTTGAGATGGTATGAATTGAAAATTCGAAGCAACGGATGAACATGGAAAAAGATGATATGTGTATCATTTGTATATCACATATATTATACGTGTATCAAATATGTATTACATGTATATCCATGTATACCTGTGTGAGATACATACATGATATACGTTTGATACATGCGTTGCAGAAGAATTTTTTTTAATTAGATTTTAACTACGAATTTTGATACCAAATAAGTCCAAATCACCTCCAATCTTGCTCAAATTTGGTATATTGCCTCATCTATATATTTTCAACGAATTCCAACCATAAAAATCCTTTTTTGCCTTTTTTTTAATATTGTATATCATTGGTGATGAATTTTGACTCCAAACTAGTCTAACTCACCTTCAAACTTCGTATATATTGCCTTATCTATGTATTTTCAACGAATCGCAACAATAACCATTGAAAAATATCTTTTTTTGCCCATATTTTTTGAATGTTGTATATCATTGAGAATGTTTTTGGCTATTTTTGGTAACATGACTAAAATGGCTAGTTGTTGGTAAATAGTGTTTTTTTTAAGTACATTCCCTTAAGATTCCCAAATGAAAATATAGACCCTGCAACAAGTGGGTCTGGGGCTCTGGGCTGCTATGATGCTCCAATTGCAGATCTCATATGTAACTTAAGGATTGGGAAACATTACATGGTATAGCCAAAGGCATGCCTTTAAAATATTAGCCACGGTTTCAAAGATGTTACAAATATAGCCATTCTTCATTTTAAGCTTAACTTCGGAGTCCATGTTTGGCTGGAGATGCTTCGCTTTGAGAGCCATTCTGCTATATTTTACTTTTTTGTTTCCCACCCGGTATCTGGTTCCTGCATTGGAGCCGATTAAATCCGAAGATTCGCACCAGAAAATTTCACATTGGGGTAAAATGTTTCCTAACAAAGGCGACTCCATACCCAAGCACGATCCCGAAACCTCTGGTTAAGATTAAAGAGTACTTACCACTCCACTATAAACCTTGCTGGTTAGCAAGCTATCATTTGTATTTTCTATAATTGTATTTCTTTATCTTCGTAAAGTTTAAGTTATGGAGTATAAACTTTTTAACATCATAAAGATTGCAAATAACTCTTCATTGCAAGATTGATATGGTAAACTACAAATTAGACTAATGATATGTTATAATTAGTTATACTGCATTGATCTAATTATAAAAGTTATTTATAGCTAGTTTTAATACATAGAACTTAAATTCATAATACAAAATGAAAGCTCTTTGCCGTTTTGCAATTGTTTCTGTGAAGGAAATCGCCGAGATTGGTCATGCGTCATTCACTTTAATGTTCAAATAAAACTTGAAAATTAGCTGTATTAGTGTTTTCTAAATAAAAGCAGAAATAGAAGAATAGTCAAGTTGTATGAAAATTTTTCTTAAAATTAGAAGTTGATAATAGTTTGGACATTTAATTCGCAAGCATAATACATTAAAAAAGAAAAATAAACAACAGTATGTTTAAGCATGTGATAGCCTAATGACCATTTCACAGGGACATTTTTACCCTGAAAAGTTCATTAAGATGACAAGGTGGCGCAACATTGTGAAATAATATGATGGTAGCAATATGGATGACAAAGAATTAGCTCTAACCCTAAAAGCTAATTAATTCACCAAGATAATCAACCATTTGACCCATTCAAAGATTCTCAAAAGATGCTCTTATACTATTCGTTAAAAATAATATAAACTGAAGCCAAATCACATTAAATTGTTGGTCAGTCACCCTCCTTGCTTTTTACAATGTGGCACATACACTCCAGAAGTTAATATTATAATGATATCTTAATTTTATTACAGGCATTAAGGGTGACAAACGGGCGGGTCGAAAATGAATAATTTAAAAAACGGATAATTTATTTGACCCCACCCGTATTTGAGACGGATAAAAAATGGGTTATCCGGTGGATAATATGGATATCCATGTTATGCATGGCTTCTTGAATATGATCACTTTTGGGAGAATTTTTAGTCTCCCAACCTTGAGTAACCCCCAATTTGAGGCTACGAATGTAAAAGTTAAACACATTTAATTAGTTATCCATTGGTTATTCATTTGGTTAACCATTTTCTAAGTGGATAATATAGTTCTTATCCATATTCGACCCGTTTTTAAAAAGTTCATTATCCAACCTATTTTTTAATGGATAATATAGGTAAATAACTATTTCTTTTAACCATTTTGCCACCTCTACAGGACACTAAATGAGGGGAAATTAAGTACGTGGTCAGATACATATTGTAAGTTTGTAACCTTCCAAACGAAAGAGCATATTTAAGATCGGACAAAAATTACAACAGTCGTTACTTGTGAGAAACTCCAACGTCTCTCTAATTCATTCCCAACCCCTTGAGAAACAAGATACTATTCCTCCAAAACCACCGGATTTAATCCACCTCCTTCCCTCATCAAATAATCTGGAAAGATCAACATCCTTCAAAGATAAACTATTGGAATCTAACCTCACAATTTCACTCCTTCCATAGATCTGATGATATGCTCGACTCAACAAAGATATTGGAAGACAAGAAAGGAATGCATGATCCAGGGACTACTCTAGGTGACGCAATATAAATCACCCTTTCGTTAGAGGATAAACAACGTATCTATGAACCATGGAAATACTCCATTATAATCAAGTTAGTAGGAAAACGTATGCTACACCATTACCTAAAGAGGAAGATCCAAGATCTATGGAAACCAACGGAAGACTTCTCTTTAATTGACCTTGGTGAGGACTACTACATCATCAAATTCACAAAGAAAGAAAACATGGATAAAGCTATTCACCTAGGGCCATGGTTCATTAATGGCCATTTCCTTTATATCTCCAAATGGAACCAAACTTTGTGGCTAGAAATGAAAAATTAACTACCTCAGCAGTTTGGTTAAGGCTGCCCCAATCACCAACGGAATTGTATGATGGTAAAATCCTAGCAAAAATTGGCAATGTAATAGGACGCCTACTGAAAATTGACACATGCACCTCAACAACCCTAAGAGGTCGATATGCAAGGATTTGTGTTGAAATCCCTTTGGAAATCCCTGTTCAACCCTTCCTATATGTTGGAAATCATAAACAGGATATACTCTATGAAAGGGAGGATTTTCTTTGCAAAAATTGTGGTCGCTTTGGTCACACACTAAGACAATGCACCTATATCAAAATGCAAAGCTTAGATCCTCACCATGCAGGACTAGAACATCAACAAGAAGCTACAAAAGATGCCATCGACTCTGAATGGAAAACAGTTTCCTTCATCAAGAAGATGAATCAAGGCAAAAGAAATCCAAACCAACTGCCCAACATCCAAGTAAAAGGCAACCAAGGTCTAGGTATTCCGATTAACTTATTCAATGCAAAAACAGGTAAGTTTTTGGTTACTCAAACTCTCCAATATAAGACTAAAAATTATCCTTCTAGTAATCAAATTCCTCCTGTTAATACCCATCCAGACATGGCTACTGATCAAACAAACTCTCACGAGGAAAACCACCAATTAAATGAGAGACAAACGGTTTTGCCAAAAACCACTAAGGACAATGTCAATTTTATTTGTGAAAATAAATTTAATCAATTAAATAATGGCTTGGATCTTGACACACAAGATACTTGCATGCAAGACTCCACCATGGCAACTTATAATACCAACTCTTTAGTTAAAACCAATGTCATGCGAATAGGCTCTAACATGGACGATTCTACCCCTACCTCTAATCCTATCCCTACTGACCCAACCCCCCCCCCCCCCAATCCGAAATCTCCCCAAAATCTTTTGTTATCTAAAGAATCTACCCAAAATCCCTTCTTAAGATATGACAAGATCCCCCCCCCCCCCCCCCCATGCATGTTGGCCAAATGGCAATGGCTATAGAAGCAAGTAGCCAAATGGACATTCCTATAGGAAATCCAAACAAAACCATTAAGTGTTCTATAAATCATGACCTAGGGCAACCAAAAGCCATAAACAAAAACGAAGCAATCATCATTCCCTCCCCCAATCGGTTAACCCCTTCTCCTACCCAAAATCCCACCCCAACTTCCAGTATAATAAATACAACTCCCATTATCCAAGATGCCAAAAGTTCCTTCAACCCTAAGAAGAAGAACCCGACTAATCCAAATCCTAAGACAATGACATCCTCTCAATATGGAAAATATTCCCCCCCCCCCCCCCCCCCCCACGAACAACCCCAGGTTATTTACGCTCAACCACCCCAAGCCCAAGATTATCAACCCACGAGTTGGATGGAGCTAGGTTTCATGGGCCATGCACTCTCGTTCTCAGTCCCGATCAACGGTCACGAGGCCATTGTGATCTTGCACAATGCGCAATATCTAGCTCAACTTATCACAGAGGGAATGAGATTGGAAATGAACAAGTATCTCAACCAAGTATGGCTCAACAACATCATTCATCCCATGGCTCCATCAATGAACCCTCAAATGGCTCAAACGATGAAAGAGCAATGGAGCATGCCACCCCAGTTCAACCCCATAAACCCTCAAAATGCACCATTGGATCTCCCATTCTTTCCAATGGAGATCTATACCCACCTAAACCCCATCTTTCTCCCTTGGGATGTCAATCTGGGGAACCAAGGGAAGGTACCCCCCCTCCACCACACCTCCACCACCAGTACCCCTACCCCATCAACAAGATGACCCCATACCAGGGCCAGTGGAGGCAGAGATGGAGGAGGACGACGTCCCCCTAAACCATCACTTAGGGCCAACCCTAGAACTATCAAACCTAGACGGAATAAAAATATTTCTCTTCATGGAGAGGCACGAGAAGAGGCGTGTTCTCGGCTGCCCGTTGGCCCTATACAAATGCTTGATGGATATTCGTCCTCCACACGACCAAACTGTGGGCAACAAAGCAATGATTCTAGTTCCATCCATGAGGAGAAACCCTGTCCAAGTGGGGGGGGATAAGGGAAAATGGGGAGATGATCAACACTGACTCAAATTTAGCCATGAAGCAACCCACTAATTTGATAATATGGAATATACGAGGAGGAAACAATGATAATTTCAGGAGAAATTTTAGGGAGATGCTAGACACCCGTAGGCCGTGTTTGGTAACTTTGTTGGAAACAAGGATGGGCAACCATGCTTAATGAATTTAGATTCACTGAGATGATAGAAGTTCCATCGGAGGGGCAGTCAGGTGGTATGGTTATGATGTGGAGGGATGACATAATCAACGTTCAAAATGCTGTTAGAAGAGGTCAGGAGATCCATGCAACCATAGAGGTACATCCTATACGTAAACCTTGGCTTTTTACTTCTATCTATGCTAGTACTAATATTCATTATAGAAATATCATGTGGGATCACCTAGAAAATATTAGTAATACTTATAGAGGACCTTGGTTAGTAGGTGGTGACTTCAACGATATTTTAGCCGCTAGTGAGAAATTTGGCGGCAAACCCATCAAAGATAGTAGAGCTAGGTACATTTGGTCCAAAATTAATAAGTGCAATCTAGTTGATCTAGGCTTCAAAGGAAGAAAATACACTTGGACCAATAATAGACATAACAAGAAGAGTCTTATTTTAGAAAGACTTGATAAAGTCTACGGAAATGAGGAATGGATTGAACTATTTCCTAAAAGCACTACTATCCATTTGCCTAGAACCCACTCTGACCATAATCCTATCATTGTAGAATTAATTCCAAGGAATAGGTCTCCTCATAAGGTCCCTTTTAGGTTAGAAACCTTTTGGTGCAAACATCCGGAATTTCAATCTATTGTTAAAAATAATTGGAATGATAGTGACTACTTTAAGTCTAGCTTCAACTTTATTGACAAGGTTAAATCTTGGAAGGACAGTACTTTTGGCAATATCATGGGAAGGAAGAGAAAACTCTTAGCTAGACTAAAATGCATCCAATCTTCAAATAGCTATGCTACTAGCTCTTTCCTTAAAAAATTAGAATTAGATCTTCAACATGAGTTCAATGATATTCTAAAAATAGAAGAAGACTACTGGAAACTTAGGTCCAGGATAATGTGGCTTAATGATGGAGACACCAATACAAAATTCTTCCACGTCTCTGCCACCAATAGAAAAAGAAGAAACAAAATAACTTTCTTCAAAGATGAAGCTGGTAACTGGATAAATGACCATAATCTTATTTTGTCTCATGTTCAAAATTACTTTATCTCTACATTTACCTCTTTTCATACTCAGTCTACCTGGACTAACCCCCTAAATACTCATTCCAGTTGTAATATGATTAACCTAGATCATCTAGATACCCCCCCCCCCCTAATAAGGAGATTAAAAGTGCAGTCTTCTCATTCAAACCATTCAAATCTCCCGGGCCAGATGGCCTACACCCCTTCTTCTTCCAAAAATATTGGTTCCATATAGGGGATTCTATCAAGAAACTCTGCCATGCTATCTTTAACAACCAGATAGTCCCTCCGGATATTAATAAAATATTTCTATGCCTCATTCCTAAAATCCATAATGCAAATAATATTAGTAACTTCAGGCCCATTGGTTTATGCAACACTATCTATAAAATAATCACCAAGGTTCTAGCCAATCGTCTTAAACCTTTCCTAGATCAACTGATCAGCCCGTATCAGGCTAGCTTTATGAAAAACATAAGAGCATCTGATAATGCTATCATCATCCAGGAAATGATTTCAAAGTTCAGTAAACTAAAAGGCAAACAAGGCCATATGATTCTGAAAATTGACTTGGAAAAGGCTTTTGATCGTCTTGAATGGTCTTTTATTCGTCACACCCTGGATTTCTTTAATTTTCCTCCAAAATTCTCTAAATTATTGCTGAATTGCATCTCTACCAGTAAAATAGCAATCTTAGTCAACGGAGCTGTTACGAATTACTTTCAACCAAGTAGAGGTATTAGACAAGGCGACCCCATCTCCCCCTACATCTTTATCCTCTGGCTAGAAATGCTTACCAGATATATAGAACACCAAGTGGACATAAAAAATTGGGACCCCATATCCCTAGGTTATAAATGTCCAAAAATTTCTCACTTATTATTTGCTGACGACCTTTCTCTAATGGCTAGAGCCAATGCTAAATCTTGTCAGGCCACAAAAAATGGGCTTGACCAATTTTGCTCTCTATCGGGTCAAAGCATCAGCACTACTAAGTCAAAGATTCTTTTTTCAAAATATTGCAATCACTCAATCATCAGTGACATTACCACTTCATTAGGTATTAAGAGGAGTAACAGTTTTGGCACATACCTTGGTTTCCCTATCCTTCACTATAGCCCAAAACCTAGGGATTACCAATTCCTCATTGACAAGATAAGAACCAAACTTGCATCCTGAAAAATAAAGTTCTTTAGCTTGGCAGGAAGAACAACCCTTGTGACATCATGCCTTAATTCCATCCCAAACCATTACATGCAATACACCCTCCTCCCCAAAAAAACCCTAAAAGATATTGATAAAGTCCAAAGGGACTTCATATGGGGTAGTACTGTAGAGAAAAGGAAACTTCACTTGGTAAATTGGACCACTATATGCCAACCCAAAAAATATGGTGGATTAGGGATCCATAATGCCCTCAATAAAAACCTTTGTACTCTAGCTAGTTTAAGTTGGAGACTCCTTACAAATGCTTTAACTCCTTGGGCAAAGCTTACCATCTCCTATTATTGCAACAGCTCCTCTGCGAATAGATCCTCCTTCCTTTGAAAAAGCATTTGCAGAGGGTGGGACATCTGCTCCAAGGGCATCATATGGTCCCCCCACATTCATTCCAATCTTAATCTATGGGAGGCCAATTGGATACCAAATATTGGTAACCTAAGGGACCTAGTTACAGGTCCTCCTTCAGCTAAAGACTTCTCCACCAAAATTAGAGATATCTTTGATGGTACCAATTGGAACTTAAACTGCCCCCCCCCCCCCCTCCGGATTTGTTAGCTACCATCTCCAAAACAAAAATCCGCCAAAAGGGCCCGGCAATTGACTTACCTATTTGGTCTCTCACCACTAAAGGAGTCTTTACTACCACCTCTTGTTATACACTACTAGAATCTCCTACTAACACTAACTCCAATTTTGAGTGAATTTGGAAATTGGACTGCCCCAATAAAATCAGATTTTTCCTATGGCAATGCCTTCATAATCGAATCCCTTGCAGAAAATACCTTTCACAGATTGGACTAAACATTGACCCTAACTGTCCAATCTGCAAAAACCACATTGAAGAGTCAATAGAACATATCTTCCTTGACTGTAGAGCTGTTAGTAACCTCTGGAGCAACCTTCAAGCGAACCAACTTGTTAACAAAAGTGGGAAACACTGGCTTCTCCAAATAAGGGACTTCAACTCTCCTATCAAACATGACCTTATAAACTGGAACAACTTCTTTCCCTTCATCGTTTGGCATATCTGGATTAATAGAAATAGCAATAACATCAATAACACTACCAACCAAAATAGAGGCTCCCAAATCTTATAAAGGGCAGTGGAATTTAAACTATTCACAGAAAAATTCTCTATTAATCCTCCCAATGTCTTATAAAAATCAACTAGTTCAAACCCCCTAAGGGGTGGTACAAACTGAATGTGGATGCCAGTTTTCGTAGCAATAACAAAAATTGTGGTTTAGGTGGTGTTTTTAGGAATGCAACAGGAAGTTGGGTGATTGGTTTTGCTAAACTATCACATGCAAATGGCTCACTAGCAGCTGAATTAAAAGCTCTAAGAGAAGGTCTACGAACAGCAAAGGAGTGGAATCTCTTCCCACTTGAGATTGAGACAGATTGCTCAGAGGTTCCAGGCAATACAAGTCGGTAATAAATTATTTAACAAAACTGTTAATGATTGCAGGTCCTTAATGCACCAGCAGAGGGTTACTCTCCAGCACACTTTCAGGCAGGGGAATAGGATTGCCCATCAGCTAGCAAAAGGGGTACTAGAAAGGGACAACCAAGCTCTTGGAGTGGCAGGAAGAAGTAAAGCAGTAAAGTGCAGTAAAAAAGTTTTTGTTGTACCACCTTTTGATGTAATAGATTTTGTGGAAAGTGATAGACTTGAATCTACTTCCCATGAAAAACTTCTATAATGAAGCTTGTAATCTGCTAGCAAGCTTAGGAAACCAATGCATCCTCCGAGATGCAAGTTATGTCGACTATGTACTAGATGTTCCTTAGTTATTAATATATATATATTTCCTGTTTGCTCAAAAAGATAATAGTAACAGGACATCCATCTATATATATATACTAGTCTTAGGGTACGCGCTTTGCGCCTGTACCTATAACATAAATATACAAGTTAAAAAAAGACAAAATTATAGAATAATGCACTCCATAAGATGACCTTGCACTATTTTAGCCCAGTTACATGTTTGTAAATGTGTAGCCAGATATCAATAAGATCTTTTCTTTTCTCATTCACTCTAATTATAACAAGCTCATTTATTCCTACCTACTCCTATTGTAGCTCTCTCCTCATTTTTTACCCATAAATATTTAATTTAATTAATGAAGAAGAATCATATGCAAACAAAACTAAANGAGAATCAGAGAGTTGCCATTTTCAGAGTTTCAAGCCTCCGCGGTCCGCGGTCCATTTTACGCGGACCGCACTAGAAGCCTCCGCGGCCGCAGTCCATTCTCTACGGTCCGTGATGCCAAGATTCAGAGACAAGACAAGCTCATGCTAAACAGGCCTAGTGCGGCCGCACACCACTTTGTGCGGTCCGCACTAGGAGATTCATAGAGGTGATTTTCAGGCCAAGAGGCAGTGGACCAACTATTAAATCTTGGGTGGAAATTTCTTTTACCTATTTCTCTAGGTAAGCTATTATTGACAACTTCGTCCCAATTTCTTTCACTGTAAAAGACTACAATATTCTAGATTCACGACTTGTCTCAAACAAGAGAAAGAAACAAGCATAAAATCTTTTTTATAGATATTCTAAATATGCTCCCTATGATAACTGAATTCATAAATTATGGTCAACAAACAATACGAGCCGCCAGATACATCGGCCAAGGTTTCATGATTACCCTGTCCCACGCAAATCGTTTACCTGTAACTATTCACTACCCCTACGATAAATTGATCACATCGGAACGTTTCCGAGGCCGAATACCATTTAGTGCTGTCCGCACTAAGATCAACGCGGCCGCAGTTCATTCTCTTCGGTCCGTGGTGAGGAGAATCAGAGAGTTGCCATTTTCAGAGTTTCAAGCCTCCGCGGTCCGCGGTCCATTTTACGCGGACCGCACTAGAAGCCTCCGTGGCCGCAGTCTATTCTCTATGGTCTGCGATGCCAAGATTCAGAGAGCTATTTTTCAAGGCCAAAGCCCCAGTGCGGACCGCGGTCCATTTTGTGCGGTCCGCACTAACCCCGCAGGGGTATTTTTGTCCAGATTTTTCAGCCTAGTATAAATAGCTTCTTTTTCCATTTTTAGGGCATCAGATATTGTAATTAAGCAGCTGCACTCGTGGATTCGACTTTCTAAGCCATTTTGGGCAATTTTAGCTACTTTTAATCATTGAATCTTTGTGTTTAACTTAGTGATTAATTAATATAAGTTTTTCTTCATCTATTTCTTGCTTCTCTTCTTTAATTATGAGTAGCTAAACCCATAAGCTAGGGTTGTGGCTCAACCCTAGTGTGGGTAATTGATGGGTCTTGTAATTTAGGGCTAAATTGACTATGGGTGTTTATTATTTGGGCCAATTTCATGGTTAATTTCTGAATTAGTAGTTGCAAACACTAGTTTGTGTTGAGTTGACTTGAGCTCTTCTTGAGAAAGAGAGCCTAAGTCTCCGAAATTGGTCCAACAAAGAATTGGGGCATACTCAAGAGATTGATAGCCCCAATTAAAGGGTTAAACCTCGAGAGAGTAATACCCGAATTGAACCCTAGTTGCTTGTGCAAATTTTCATACCCAATTGGTCTTGAGAAAGCCAATTCGGGCAAAATCACTCGAACCACCGAGAGGTGTAGAGTGGGTAAAGTCGTGCAACAGTTATAACATACTCCCCAAACGTGCCAAACGTGCCTTAGATTCAAGTACCCTTCAATTGACCACCTAGGCGGTAGTCACTACCCTAGTGCCTTTTAAACCTATTAGAACAACTCGTAGCATTATAACTCTTAGCATAATTTAGTTGCAATTACCATTTGTAGATTGAGAATAGTGAAAGTAAACAAAAAAACCCCAAAAATGAATAGAAGTGTAATTAAGAACACATACACAATTCTACACTAGATAGATACTCGATTCCAAATTCTAGCTCTCTGTGGATTCGATCCCGACCCTAAATCGGGTAAAAGCTGCTCCGACCCTCTCTCGCTACTTAAATAGTAGTGCGGAGTAGGTCGCGATCACTTTTTGGCGTCGTTGCCGGGGAGCTAACGGTTTTGGTTATCTATTTAGTTAGATTTGTGTTTTGTTCTTCTTTCCTTCTTGTTACTAATTTGTGTGTGTCAATACTTCAAGTACCAAAATGGCTTTAAATGCTAATGACCCTCTTGGAAATGTGAATGCGGGGGAGGAGGTAGATGACACTGGAGAAGAAGAGGTGCCTCTTGTACCTCAAGGACAACGTAGAGGCCGCCAGGCCAATGCAAATGACAATATTCCAGACCCTCCTCCGCCACCTCCAAGAGTGGCTCCCAGAGTTCTTCCCAACCAAGGCTATGTGAGTGCTATTGTTACGCCCCGGATCGGGCGGGCAATTTTCAAATAACAAACGTGATGCTGACATTGTTGTAGCTAGGGGTGTTCATGGTTCGGTTTGGATCGGGTTTTCACTAAAAAGAAACCAAACCAAGTAAGTCTGTTTTTCAAATACTAGAACCAAACCAAACCAATTAAGTCGGTTTTTTCTCGATTCGGTTTAAGTCGGGTTTTGTCGGTTTTTCCGGTTATTTGTCGGTTTTTTCTTAAATATAAGACATACACTACCAAACACATATTCTAGCGACCACATTTTCAACGTAACACGATCAATCAATTGCCCTTTGAGAAATCTATTATTTACTAAAATATATTGATGATAATTGAATCAAATAGTGATGAATAATTTAAGGAATCAATTAAAAATATTTTTTTTTAACATGAAATAGATTCTTACACTTAACAAAAGAATACTACCAATCAAACTAGAATATAAAGGTAAAAAACTGTACTAAAAGTGCAAACGATTAACATTCACCATAAAATTTTTGAAACTTTGTATAAAAATATATATATATATATATATATATAGGTGTAATAATAAATTTGAAATAGCTACTCCTATAGTCGGTTTGGTTCGGTTTTTTCGGTTATTTTTTTATTAAAACCAAAACCAAACCAAATTTGATAAGTTTTTAAAATTCAAAACCAAAACCAAACCAAACCTATAAAGTATCAATTTTTTGGTCAGTTTGGTTCGGTTTTCAATTTGATTTGATTTTTCGGGTTTTTATGTACACCCTTACTTACATATATGAAGATTTCGTAGTTATAATTTGAACTTTTGATGCCTTTTTTGTTATTTGGATAATTGTTGCAAAGTATTTTTGCTGCTTATGTTTTTCTCAATATTTTATCTTTACGTTCTTCTATTGCACATATCCACGAGACAAGGACTGTACCGGGTTACAACAGGCTGAAGAACATGCAATTCTTCATTTGTAGAATGGCTAAACCTTGCTTGAAAATAAAGAAAAAAGATTTCTTTGAGTAAGTTGAAGAAACAAACTCTTGTTTTGCGAACTTCTTCAACTTCTTGCAGTAATAGA